AGAGATAGAGACAGAGAGGTTTTCCCACCGTTGGTTCACTCCCCAGATGGCTGCAGCGGCTGGAGCTGGGCCGATCTGAAGCCAGGAGCCAGGAGCTTCTTCTAGGTCTCCCATATGAGTGCAGGGGCCCAAGGACTTGGACCATCTTCTACTGCTTTCTCAGGCCATAGCAGAGAGCTGGATTGGAAGAGGAGCAGCCGGGACTAGAATTGGCACCCATATGGGATGCTGGCTCTTCAGGCCAGGGCTTTAACCTACTGTGCCTCAGCACCGGCCCCCCAAATGATGTTTTAACCGCACACTAGGTACCACCCCAGGTCACATATTGCTTGTGGCTGCTTTTTGCATTGTAGCTGGGTGCTGAATTGAGCAGTGGTGGCAGAGACTGTGTGACCCACCAAGGCTAAACTACTGGGTCTTGCCTTTTATAGAAACATTTGCTGAGTAACATGGCCGAGCTAGGCAAGTCTGAGCCCCACTCTTGCTGTGTGAGCTTGGGCCAATCACTTGCCGCCTCTGAGTCTGCCCAGCAACTCCCAAGGGTTCCACCGAAGCCCACGGGTGATTAAACTGCAAAGTGCGGTTCCGTCTCACCAGCCTGGTACCTGGTGGGCACTGAGAGTCTGCTTGCTTGGAAACAAGAAGGCAGTCATGCTGTAGGCCGCCCTGCATCCAGCTGCTGGCTGCTCCCGAGGCTGAAGGAGGTGCATCTGGGCCCGAGATGCTGAATGCATCATTGTCCACTCTCATGCAGACTTGGCAGGTTTCAGCATAAATTAAAATTCTTGTGGGGAGTCACCTTATATGTGGTGCCGCTTTATGGCCAAGTCATTACGGTAATTTGCAAAGCTCTCTGGTGTGTAACTAGAGCCATTCGCTTTGGGCTTGCCGGCTGTGACCTCACTCAGGCTGCCCCATCCTGCGTGTAGTGAACCCTAATGCATGGGGCTTTGCCCTCCTGAGTCATGGCCTCTCTGCCATGAGCTTGAGAAGAAATAATGATCATCACATTGCTTTGCTTTTTCTAAGATGAGAATTTAAAATTTTTTAAATTTATCTTTGTTTGAAAGGCAGAGGGATAGAGAGAGAAGGCAGAGAAAGACAGATGTTTCATCTGCCAGTTGACTCCCCAGATGGAAGAGCTGGAGTTGGACCAGGCTGAAGCCAGGAGCCTGGAACTCAGTCCAGATCTCCAGTGTGGGTGGCAGGGACTTGGGCCATCACTTCTTGCCTCCCAGTGTACGCATTAGTAGGAAGCTAAAACTGGAAGTAGATTTGAGGCTCGAACCCAGGTGCTCTGATACAGGATGCAGATGTCCCAGTGGAGTCTCAGCCACTGCATCAGTGCCCACCCCCGTCATGACTGAGTGCTCACTGTGCCAAATGCACTATGATCCTAGCCTTGGGCGGTCAGTGTTAGCATTTTTTTTTTTAATATATTGATTTATTTTATTTGAAAGGCAGAGAGGCAGAGGTAGAGAGAGAGGCCTTCTGTCCACTGGTTCACTCCCCAGATGGCTGCAACGGCTGGAGCTGGGCCGATCTGAAGCCAGGAGCCAGGAGCTTCTTCCAGGCCTCCCACATAGGTGCAGGGGCCCAAGGATTTGAGCCATCTTCTGCTTTCCCAGGCCATAGCAGACAGCTAGATCAGAAGTGGAGCAGCTGGGACTTGAACTGGCACCTAATGGGATGCCGGCAATGCAGGCGGCCCCAGCATCGTTTTATAGGTGAGGAAACTGGTGAGGAAACCAAACTACATTTTTACTTGGCTTTGGAAGTGCCAGTCTGAGCTCTGCTGTGGATTTGCTGTGTGACTGGGGCAGGCCCTTGGCAAGCCTCAGTTTTACCTATTAATGAAGCAGATGGTCTATCAGTCCCAGCTATGACACTCCAGGGCTTCTTACCCACTTCCTGCACACAAGGACCTGCCACTCTCCATACCTCCAAAGGAACTTCCTTTGTGTGGGGGAAACCAGGTCCAAGGTCTGCTCCTGGCCCTTGTGGCACAGAGAGAGACATGGCTGTGGCTGCAGCTCCTCCCTGGAACCTGCACACTGGCCTCAGAGCAGCAGGGTGATGTGTGCCTCTCATTCCTGGCCTCCTTGAGAAAGATCCGACCTCCCTCGCTGAAGGCGGATAGTGAGCAGGAGTGGGCCTCCCCTGGGTCTTGCTCTTGGGGACAGAGAAGCCAGACTGTAACAGGCGGGAGCTGTACCCTGTCTTTCCTGGCAGTGGCAATGGCAGCAGCATCACTGAGACACATACAGCCTCTGGTCAAACTCCAGCCTTTGTGGGGCAGAGTCCGGCATGGGCGTCGGAGACCTCAGTCAGGGCTGCAGCTATATCAGCAACTGCGTGTGACCTGGAGTAGCTCCTTGCCAGCTCTGATGGTCGGTGTCCCTTTGTGAGGCTTGAGGCCAAAGCTTCCACAGGGTGCCGTGAGGGTCAGCAGAGAGAGGCACGAATGGGCTTGAGCACAAGACTTGGCGATGGTGACCTGAGGGGGTCCCTCCACCCTCCTTCCCACACCAGCGTGTGTGTTTATTGTGGGAAGACCTCTGCTGTGTCCAGAGGGAGGAAACTGACAGGCTCCCGTTGCTGCTTGAGCAGTGACTGTTCTCACAGAGGTGATGGGCTTGACCTTAGCTCAGCCCGTCACTCCCTGTGTGATCTTGGAGAACAGCTTCAGCTCTCTGATCTTCCTTGACATCCGAGTGGGAGGCACTTGTTTGTGTGTCTCCAGTCCACCTGTTGGTTGAAATGCAGCAGGACAGAGCTTGGCACTTTGAAGTCGGAGGGAGCTGGATGGTGACCCCCAAGCCTGATCATAGGTACCTGATCTCTGCAAACCTGGACAGTTTTCATCTGGGAGATGGTTTTACTGAGCCTGCCGCGGCACAGACACACCAGGGCCTGGTGACTGCTAGGCTCCCCTCTCCTTCCCAGCAGGACTGGTGGGTCCTTGAAGGAAGCTCAGAACTGCACCGTCCACCCCGCAGACTCTGGGAGAAAGACCCTGGCGATGATTAAGCGCTCTCTGCGCCAAATGCTATTAATGGTCATAAAATTATCCACAGTTTTCTGAGGCCCAGTCCCAGGGCTTGCCTCAGTGGGACAATAAAAGCGCATGCAGAAACGATTTGAAGAAGGCGAGGCCGGCCAAGCGGAGACGGAGTCAAACGAGCTGCAGCCTGCTCTCATTAACTCGGGCCATTCACATTTGTTACCAGGGATTTCTTTTTAATTAAAAAACAACCAAGTTATTAAAAAATAAGCCTGTGAGGGGTTGGCCGGGCAGTGCCGAGGCAAAGCGCTTCTCACAGCAGGCCGGTCTAGGGGCTTGGGGTGGGAAGGTGGCGGGGAGCAGATGTGTGTCTGAGGGCTCTCACCTGGGCCTGGGAACCTGGAGACTCGGCTGAGCCCCTCACCTGCTCCAGGCCCTCGAGAGCATTGCGTTCTCACCTGCAAACTGTCGCGTACTCGGCAGGTGAATGCCTGGCACCTGTCCAGGCAGTGCCACGTGGCTGCTTAGCAAGCTGAGTGTCTGGCCTCAGCATGGGATAATGGGATAATCTAGCAAGGATGTAGGCTAGAATTAGGGTTAAAGGAGGTGGGCCCTTGCAGGTGGGCTCTCTCCAAGGCCACTTCTGATTACACAGCAATTAAGACGTGAGGTTTGGGTTGTCAGACCTGGGTCAGAAATCTAGTTCAGGGGTTAACTAGCTGTGTTTTCTTGGGTGAGTCATGTAACTTCCCCAGCCTTTGTTTTCTTGTCTGCAAAATGGGGGTAATCATACTCACCCCTCCCTCTGAGGGCAGTGGGGAAGCCCGGGTGGACCAGTGGCCTGCACGTCCTGCTCAGCCCAGGCTGCTTCTGCTATTGCTGTTGACCGGGTTGGTCATGTCCTAGTGTCAGCCTTGCTCTCATCTTCGTGGCTTCTCCTGCTCCAGGTTGACAGCCTTTAGACAGAACTTGGGCTTGTTAATAACACTTGATTACATCTTTCGGGCATCGTGTATGTTCTGAAGTGCTGTTTGACAGTGAAAACAACTCCCATTCCTGGTGCACCTGCCAATTGCCAGTACCCTGTGGGGGCTGTGTGCTGCTGCTCTCAGAGCCTCATGTTAGGCATCTCTGGAGAATCAATATGACTGGCCCATTCACACAGGGGCCGAGGGTCAGTCACGCACGGGGATTCATCTGTGTGACGGAGTCGGCTCAGGGCGAATAGGGTCCCACAGCGAGGTCCTGAAGCCCATATCCTTTCTTAGCATCACCCTGTGAGCTGGCAGGGCAGAAAGCTCCAGAAGAGTTTCCGGCTTAATCATCCTCATCTGTAGATGAGAAAACTGGGGCCCAGACTGCGGAGGAGGCTGTACCTAGCGTTTCTGTTACACTTTGCACGGTTTTCTAAGGCCGTTCACATCTACTGTCTTGGCTACTCTTCATCAAATAACCCATAGTTGGGCAAGGCAAAGCCTCTGATTGTTGAGTGGCTGAAGAACCACGGAGGGTACGGGGGCATAGACAACCATGCCCTCCATTTAGGTAGTATAATGCAATTCAGAAAACAACATTTGGTGAGCCTGGGTCCTAGCAGGTGCTGGTTGGTGAGTCCCAGCTCCTAACATGCCTCGGTGTACGTGGAAGCCACAGCTCCATGTCCACGCACCCCAGCTCGCATTGAGCCTGCTGTCCAGTAATTGAGCTGCGAGTGGCGTGAGGACGATACGCCGAGCTCTTCACCAGGGTTTCCTGCACAGCACACAGTGAGCATCCAGCACCAGTGAGATTGTCTTCCAACCCAGCGAGCCTCAGCTTCGGCCTCTGAGAGTTGAGGGTTTTAATACTGATCCTGCTGGGTGGTTATGGGAAGCCAGTGAGGTCTCCTGTGTATCAGGGGTCCTGTTAGTGCTGGCCCAGGGTGCGCTGCCCCTGTACCCCTCTGCAGGCTGTCCCACTCACTTTATGTCCTCTGTCCCCCTCTCTCTTTGCCTAGTGAATGGGAGCTTCAGCCACTGTGCCCCAGCCTCAGAGAAGAGCCTGCTGGACCTGGACCTTGCTGAGGGCCCTGGCCCCACCTGCCGCCAGGGCCTCTTTCTCCCTGTGGGTTCGCCCCCACCCCGGGGCCACCCCCCTGCCTGTGAGAGGCTGCTGCATTTCCCCCACCCCAACAGGTATGTGCCCACCCCAACCCCAACTGTTTCCTGTGCACATATCCCAGAGGCCAAGGGTGAAGGGCCTCAGGACTGCACCGAGTCTGCCTGGCTTGTGGACACACAGGGAAACTGAGGCAGAGGAGGACCAGGACATGGTCACAGCTGTGTGGTGCAATGATGGCTGCCAGGTCTAGACCTGCTCCTCCAGCCTTGCTGGCACTTTCTGAGGGATGCAAAGGGGATTCTAAAGGAGGTGCATTTCCCTGCTGTGCAGCTGAGGAGCCTTTTAGCACAGAGTCAGTACGAGTTGAGCATCCCTAATCTGAAAACTAGAAATCTGAAATGTTCCATGGCCTCAAATTCTTGGAAACTTCTGCACCAGACCTCCTGCAACATGGTGCAGTCAGAACACAGCACACTGAAAATATGGTATGAATTACCCTCAGGCTGTGTATACAAGGAAGATATGAAATATAAATTAATTTGATGTTTAGGCTTGGGTCCCTTACCCCAAGATATCTCCTTGTGCATTAATGCAAGTATTCCAAAATTCAAAAACATCTGAAATCCAGAATGCTTCTGTTCCAAGGGTTTTGGTTGAGGATACCAGACCTATGGCTTCAGAAGAGGAAGGTTCAGGAAAGGTCGGGAAAGGAAAACCCCTGGAGGGTCGGCGCCGCGGCTCACTAGGCTAATCCTCCGCCTAGCGGCGCCGGCACACCGGGTTCTAGTCCCGGTCGGGGCGCCGGATTCTGTCCCGGTTGCCCCTCTTCCAGGCCAGCCCTCTGCTGTGGCCAGGGAGTGCAGTGGAGGATGGCCCAGGTGCTTGGGCCCTGCACCCCATGGGAGACCAGGAAAAGCACCTGGCTCCTGGCTCCTGCCAACGGATCAGCGCGGTGCGCCGGCCGCAGCGCGCCGGCCGCGGCGGCCATTGGAGGGTGAACCAACGGCAAAGGAAGACCTTTCTCTCTGTCTCTCTCTCTCTCACTGTCCACTCTGCCTGTCAAAAAAAAAAAAAAAAAAAAAAAAGAAAACCCCTGGGCAGAGAGGGACCCCTCCTCCAGTGCAGTCCCCTGCTGTAGGACCCCACCAGGGAGCTGTCCACTCAGGGCTGGCTCACTCTCACAGCTGTCTGCTCCGTGCAGAGGGGCCAGCAGGTTTCATATTGGTGGAAACCTGCCTCCTGCCACTTCTTTCAAATCCCCATCTGCTCTTTGGTGTTCTCTGGTTTGCTGACAGTGAGCTCGCTCAGAGGCCTTTGGGCACACTCGCTTGGCCCAGGGCCCTCACCCCTCCCCTGTCTGGGGTTTCTGGGATGGGGCTGCTTCACAGACCAGAGAGTTTAAAAACTGGCCCATTTTACTGGTTCAAAACCCAGCCCTTCACCAGCTATGTGTCAGGGCCTGCTGTGTGCTGAGCAGTGTGATCAGGGCTGGGAGACCAGGGGAAAGGCAACCAAGATCTCCCTGGGTAAGGCTTATCCTCTGGTTGGGACTCTGCCACAGAAGATATTACTACTATCTAATATTTGTTAGATAATTAGTAACATCTAATAGAGAAATGGCCTCCTTTCATAATAGTAAGACTTCTGATTTAAAGTTGTACTCTTACAAGTATGTTTTTCATCACTAAAGTAAAATACCTGAGGCAGGTTCACTTCATAAAGAAAAGAGGTTGAGTAAACTCACATTTCTGGAGGCTCAAAGCCCAGGGTCCCCTTGGGGCAGCCTCTGGGGAGGGCCTGGCATCTGATGGTGTTACAGCAGCAGAAGTGCACATGGAAGAGATCACATCTCAAAACAGGAAGCCAGAAAGCAATTCAAGGGCTCGGATCACCCTTAGGACAATGCCCTCTCTCAAGAACTAGCCGAAGGGATCTGCCTTGTTCCTTCTGAGGGCAGCTCTGCCGGTGAGCTAATGACCTCCCAGAGGCCTTGCACAGTCTCCCAGCGCTACCACCCTGGGCACCCAGCCTTCAGCACGTGCATTAGTGCCCTCACAAACCCACCCACTGGAGGCTTCAACAGCCAAAAATTGGTTGCTAAAAATACAAGATCAAGGGGCCAGAAGATTTGGTTTCTCCTGCAGCCTCTTTCCTTGGCTTGCTGTGTCCTTATGTGGTCATTCCTTGGTCCATCATCTGTGTCCCAACCTCTATTTTTTCCCCAGAAACCTTTTATTTAAGACATACAAACGTCATTGCATTTCATAAATACAACTTTAAGAACATAGTGGTTCTTCCCACAGTGCCTGCCTTCCCACCTGTACTCCCACCCTTCTTCCTCCTCCCCCCTCTCCTATTCCCATTCTTATTTTTTTTACTAAGATCTTGTTTCAATTAACTTTATACACATAAGATTAACTATATTAAGTAAAGAGTTCAACAAATAGTATAAAAAAACTGTTCTCAGCAGTTGAGACAAGGGCTGTTCAAAGTCATCACATCTCAAAATGTTGATTTCACTCATGTAGATTACCTTTAAGGTGCTCTATTAGTTACCACAGATCAGGGATAACATATTGTATTTGTGCTTTTGGGACTGGCTTATTTCACTAAGTATGATGTTTCCCAGTTTCATCCATTTTGTTGCAAACAACAGGATTTCATTTTTACCACTGTATAATATTCCACGGTATACATATCCCATAATTTCTTTATCCAGTCTTCAGTTGATGGACTTTTGGGTTGATTCTATACCTTAGATATTATGAATTGAGCTGCAGTAAACATGGGGACACAGATCAATCTTTTGTATGGTGATTCCAATTTCCTTGGATAAATTCCCAGGGCTGAAATGGCTGGGTCATATGGTAGGTCTATATTCAGATTTCAGAGGTATCTCTATACTGTCTTCCACAGTAGCTATACCAGTTTATATTCCCACCAACAGTGGATGAGGGTACCTTTTCCCCACATCCTTGCCAGCATTAGTTGTTTATTGATTTCTGTATGAAAGCCATTCTAACAGGAGTGAGGTAAAACCCCATTGTGGTTTTGATTTGCATTTCCCTGATGGCTGGTGATCCTGAGTGTTTTTTTTTTTCAAGAGTGTATTGGCCATTGGAATTTCCTCTCTTGAAAAATGCCTGTTCAAGTCCTTTGCCCATTTCTTAACTGGATTGTTTACTTTGTTGTTTTTGAATTTCTTGAGCTCTTTATAGATTCCGAATGTTAATCCTTTATCTTTTGCATAATTTGCAGATATTTTCTCCCATTCTGTTGGTTGCCTTTTCACTTTGCTGAGTGTTTCTTTTTCAGTGCAGAAGCTCCTCAGCTTGATGTAATTCCCATCTGTCAGTTTTGGCTTTGATTGCCTGTACTCCTGGGGTCTTTTTCATGAAGTCTTTGCCTATGCCAATGTCTTGCAGGGTTTCCCCAATGTTCTCTAATAAATTGATGGTATTGGGTCATAGATTTAGGTCTTTGATCCATTTTGAATGGATTTTTGTGTAAGGTGTAAGGTAGGGGTCTTGCTTCATACTTCTGCATGTGGAGAACCAGTTTTCCCAGCACCATTTGTTGAAGAGACTGTCCTTGCTCCAGGGATTGATTTCAGCTCCTTTGCCAAAGTTAAGTTGGTTGTAGATGTGTGAGTTGATTTCTGACATTGCTTTTATGTTCCATTGTTCTATCCATCTGTTTTTGTACCAATACAAAGCTGTTTTGATTACAACTGCCCTGTAGTATATCTTGAAATCTTGTATTGTGATGCTTCTGGCTTTGCTTTTGTTGTCTAAGTTTGATTTAGCTGTTTGGGGTTTCCTGTGTTTCCCTATGAATTTTAGCATCATTTTTCAATGTCTGAGAAGAATATCTTTGATATTTTGATTGGTATTGCCATGAACCTGTAAATTGCTTTTGGTGGTATGGATATTTTGATGATATTGATTTTTCCAATCCATGAACATGGAAGATTTTTCCATTTATTAGTGTCTTCTTCTATTTCATTAATATTTTGTAATTCTCATAGAATTATCTTTGATGACTTTGGTTAAGTTTATTCCAAGGTATTTGATTTTTTTGTAGCTATTGTGAATGGTATTGATCTTTAGAAATTCTGTTTCAGCTGTGGCGTTTTCTGTGTATATAAAGGCTATTGATTTTTGTGTGTTGATATTATATCCTGCCACTTCACCAAACTCTTTCATGAGTTCCAGGAGTTCTCTTGGTGGAGTCTTTTGGATCCCCTATATATAGAATCATATCATCTGCAAATAGGGATAGTATGATTTCCTCCTTTCCAATTTGTATCCCTTTGATTTCTTTTTCCATAATGGCTCTGGCTAAAACTTCCAGTACTGTATTGAATAGCAGTTGTGAGAAGGCATCCCTGTCTGGTTCTGGATCTTAGTCAGATTGCTTCCAACTTTCCCCCATTCAATAGGATGCTGGCTGTGGGCTTTTCATAAATTTCCTTGATTATATTTAGGAATGTTCCTTCTATACCCAATCTGCTTAAAGTTTTCATCATGAAGAAGTGTTGTATTTTATCAAATGCTTTCTCTGCATCTATTGAAGTAATCATATGATTTTTGTTCTTCAGTTTGTTAATGCAATATATCACATTGATTGATTTGAGAATGTTGAACCATCACTGCATACCAGGGATAAATCCTGCTTGATCCAGATGAATGATATTTCTGATGTTTTTGGATTTGATTGGCTTTGTTGAAGATTTTTGCATCTATGTTCATCAGGGAAATTGGTCTGTAGTTCTCTTTTTCTCTTGTATCTTTTTCAGGTTTAGGAATTAATCTGATGCTGGCTTCATAGATGGAGTTTGAAAGGATTCTCTCCCTTTTATTTATTTTGAATAGCTTGAGAAGAATTGGAATTATTTCTTCTTTAAGTATCTCATATAATTCAGCAGTGAAGCCATCTGGTCCTGGCATTTCTTTGTTGGGAGGGTCTTTATTACTGATTCAATTTCTGTCTTAGTTATTGGTCTGTTTAAGTTTTCTATGTCTTCATGGCTCAATTTAGGTAGGTTGTATGTGTCCAGGAATATAATTTCTTCTAGGTTTCCTGATTTGTTGGCATACAGCTCTTTGTAGTGATTTCTGATGATTTTTTTTTATTTCTGTGGTGTCTGTTGTTACACTTACTTTTTCATCTCTAGTTTTATTGATTTAGGTCTTCACTCTACTTCTCTCTCTCTCTCTCTCTCTCTCTCTCTCTCGGTTAGTTGAGCCAATGGTGTGTCAATTTTGTTTATCTTTTCAAAAAACCAACTCTTTTTAGTGATGTTTTGTACTGTTCTTTTATTTTGGTTTCAATTTTGTTGATTTCTTCTCTAATTTTTTCTTTTATCTTGCTAGTTTTGGGTTTGGTTTGCTGTTATTTTTTTTAGGTCTTTAAGATGCATTAATAGCTCATCTATTTGGTCCTTTCTAATTTCTTGATGTAGGCACCAATTGCTGTAAGCTTTCCTCTTAACACTGCTTTCGCTGTATCCCATAGGTTTTGATAGGCAAGCTCCTCTTACAAGGAATTGTCAGATGGATTGGATCAGGGCCCACTCATGACCTCATTTCACCTTTCTTCCTTCAAGGCCCTGTCTCCAAACACAGTCACCTTGGGGTAGGACTTCCACGTCTGAACCTTGCTGTGCACGGTTTGGCCCTTGAGAAGGAACAGCATCTTTAGAACGCATCCTGGGCGTTGAGTACTGGCAGCAGATGCACTAGGGGGCTTGGCCAGTCACTGAGGGCCCAGCAGTCTCCAGGTTCCCCAGGGAAGTCCAGTCTGTGTCAGGCAGAAGCTGTGGGAACCTGAGAGAATCAGAGTTCTTAGCTTTGTCTGTTTTTGCTAGAGAGTCAGAGAAGTCATGTGCCTGACAGTTCGGGGCACAGGAGAGTCTATCCTGAATCCTATGGAAGCGTCAGTCTAAGTTGCTGGTGCCCCTGGAACCAAGTGGCTAAACTTTCACAACTTTTGTTTTCTAAAAGAGAAGATCATGAACCCTAGCCCACATCCAGTCTAAATCCTGGCCCCCAATCCCAGGACCACCTTGTGTTTGGGGTTCCTCCTCTGTTCTGCAGTCCACTCCTGATCTCTGGTCCCTTGATCTACACTCTGGGTCCTGCGGCAGCTGCCTCCAACGCGACACTAACACTTGTAATAAAGCCAGCTGCCACGTCCAAGGACTAGCTCCTCGCAGTCCCAGGAGGCCCTGGTCCTCCTGCCAGTGAGCCATGGTGTGGAGTGCTTGCAGTGGGCCACACACTTGACCAAGCTCTTAACCCGCAGGCAGGTGAGCTGGGGCCAGAAGGGCTGTGTAGCCAGCCCAGGGATGTCCATCGAGTGGCGAGGAGGTGTGAGTAACTCCAGCAACAGCCTGATCTTGTCCTTTCTGTGCTCACAATGGCTGTCCACCACCACTGTGGTTAGAAAGTATTAAGTGCAGTTCAAGTCCTAGCTCTGTTGCTGGCCTGCTGGGTGGCTGTGGGCCAGATGCTGAACCTCCCCAGGCCTCATTTCTCTCCCTGTAAAATGATGATGGGGTGCAGAGTGGGCAGGCCCCCCAGCAGTGATGGGGGTCCTATGATGTGGCCTCCTGCACCGGCCACACCAGCCTGCTGGCCTCTTTCTGTTTGGGTCCCACATGTTCACATCCTTACCTCTCAGCCTTTGGAGCCCCCTTGCTCTCCTCTTTGTCAGAAGCCTGCCCACCGCTCATCAGAGTTTCCATGTTCTCTCTGAGCACTGGTCCAGTCTCCCCCATTAGAATCTACTGGAGAGGTGGCCTGAAATGGCCAAGGACCTGGTTTTCAAGCTATCCCTTTCCCAGCATCTCCCGGCACTGAGTGAAAAGCCTGACCATCAGCCCAGAGGGCAGCCTATGACCCTGCAGGTGCATGGCCCCATGAGGTCTGAGTGCTGGAAGAACAGCCATCATCCCTATTGGAGCAGCCCCCTTCTGGGGGCCAAGATGACAGAGACAAGAACCCTGAGTACTTGATTCTGAGAATCTTGACACTATAAGGAAGTGGGTGGCCATCCCATCAGATTGTTTCCCAGATAGGAGACTGGAGTCCTGAGGGGAATCCTTGGCTTCTGACCCTGACAGATCCAGGTCCCACTTCCTGCTCTGTCACTGACTGCCTGTGTGGGTGTGGGCATGCTGCTTCAGTTCTCATTGGTGTAAACCAAGGGAGCAGCTCTCTGGAAAGCCCGAAATTCTGGGCTGCCATGACCATGGTAACCACGGAAGAGACAGGCTGCCTGGGGCAAAGCTTTATGCAGTTTTTGGAAGCAAAGGAAGATCAAAGGGACCGGTAACCGGAATTTGCAACACACTGGACATGGGTGTTCTCCCAAATGCCAGCCAGCCTCAGCCTTCCTCCCGTAGAACTCTCACGAAGGTCACTGGAGAAGTAAGGGAAGACCCTAGGGGGCTCTGAGAGGCAAGGAGGTGGGCTGGGTTTTGGTGAGAGTGAGCCAGTCCTCCTTCCTGCCCCTCGTCACAACCACCTGTCACTCTTGAGTCTTTCCCCAGCCCTGCTTTGCTTCCACTTTCTGCACATGCCTCCCTGCTCTCCACACAGCCTGTCTCTGTCTTTCTTGTGCTCTGCTTCCAGTGGCTAGCCTCCAGCCCCTGTTCTGGGCCTCACTGTCCTGCCAGCCCTGCCTGGGCCTCCTGGTCATGGAGTGCCCACCTGCTCATGACCCCTCTGGCCACTGTCTTGCAGGTCACCCAGACCCCAGGCTGCGTATGTGAACGGCGGTCTCCCGACCACACAACACATCAAGCAAGAGTCCCTGCCTGACTTCCAGGCCATGGCAGAGGCCCGCATGCCCCTGTCCACCCACTGCCGGGCCCCACCAGCCACCGGCTTGCACACAGACCTGGACCTCCAGGGCCAAGGCCTCGCCAATCCTGCACCTTCCTGCTACCTTCTGGGCAACGAGCCCAGCTCTGGCCTGGGCCCCCAGCCTGAGGCCCACCTTCCTGAGGGCAGCCTGAAGCGCTGCTGCCTCTTGGGCCTGCCCTCCACCTCGTTGGCCTCCTCCTCCTCCTGTGCCTCCCCCGAGGTCAGCCCCATCATCCACTCCTCCCAGACGGCTCTGGTCACCTGTGTAAATGGACTTCGAAGCCCCCCACTGCCAGGAGACCTGGGGGGCCCTCCCAAGCGGGCCCGGCCAGGCCCTGTGTCCACTGAGAGCCACGAGGGCAGCTTGCAACTCGAACGCTGCCGAAAGCAAGGCTTCCTGAAGCAGGAGCCCACGGACGAGTTCTCAGAGCTCTTCAGACCTCACCAGCAGGGCCTGCCACCCCCATACCCTCTGCCTCAGTTGCCACCCGGCCCAGGCCTTGGGGGCCTGGGGCTGGGCCTGGCAGGCAGAGTGGTGGCGGGGCGACAGGCATGCCGTTGGGTGGACTGCTGTGCGGCCTACGAACAGCAGGAGGAGCTGGTGCGGCACATCGAGAAGAGCCATATAGACCAGCGCAAGGGCGAAGACTTCACCTGCTTCTGGGCCGGCTGCGTGCGTCGCTACAAGCCCTTCAATGCCCGCTACAAGCTGCTCATCCACATGAGGGTGCACTCAGGCGAGAAGCCCAACAAGTGCATGGTGAGTCCCCACAGGCTGCCTGGCCCCGCACGGCAGGGAAGCTCCCCGGGAGCTGGCTTGGGATCCTCTGGAACGAGGAGGGCAAGCCCGAAGCTCTGCACATGGCCACTGGGCAACATGGGCAGTGCTCCGTCCCTGGAACCTTTGGTTGTGCTGCTTCACCCTCACCAGGTGCCTGCCCCCCCACCCCGAGACATTGGATGGGCCTTGGACCTTGGAGGCTCAGCATGCCGCACAGCACTGTGCCATGCACACACAGGCTCGGAGGTCCCAGCAGGCTTGGCCGACCTTCCTGCTGATGCACACTTGCTCCCTGGCCCCCCTGCAGCTGGATGTGTGCTGTCCCCGAGTGCCGTGCCTGTACCCGGCATCCTTCCCGGAGGACTCCCTGGGCCTCGTCCAGAAGCTGCCTGCAGTCGGGCTTCCATAGCAAGGGCTGGATGCTCACCTGCAGCTGGCTTGAGAGCTGTCTCCAGGGCAGTCTTTGGGTTAAGATCAGGGCTAGTAGCTAAAGCCCTGCACAGCACCAGGAACATTCTGTCTGGGTTGAGACTAAGGTGTTTGGGGGAAAAAAAGACAGGTGTGGGCACACACATGCCTGTGTGTACACATGTACAAAAACACATGTGCACACACAGTAACTGTAGGCACCTGTGCCTCTGGCCTTCTGACTGGTCCTTTCTCTGTTCAGCCCTCATTGGTGGAAGTCTTTGTCAGAGGCTAGGTGCTCCATCTTAACCCTGATAACAAGAAATAAGAGCCACCAAGACCTCAGCTCAGTCTCCCCAGCTGCAGGGACAGCAGCACATTTGGGGTGCAGGAGCTAGTGTTGTAGCCAAGGTCCAGTCCTTCCACACTTGGCCGCTGTCGCTGTCACTGAGCCCCTTGTCATGGAGCCTTCAGTCTGGGGAGGGGCTTAGCATCCCTGCTCAAAGCACAGGGGGCATTTGCAGGGGCCAGGCAGGAAGCACTGGCAAGGAGCAGCTGTAGAGATTCCACTCTCCTGGGTCAGGGACTGGCCCTGGGGTCCCTTTCGCCTGAGAAGCTGTGAACTGGGCATCCAACTGGACCGGTGTCTTCAACTCAGAGGAGACTGGGTCTTGGAGGGTGAAGAGTGCACTTGGTAGATGAGTGGGCAGCAGGGACAGGAAGGAGAAGGGAGTCTGGTTGGCGTCCTGGGGTATGAAGGGGTGGTACAGAAAGGCTGAATGGGACAGGCCAAGAATTTGACTTTGTCATGTGCCTTTGTGTTGAGTATGCTGCAGGAAGGGCTGGTAGCTGGCCCAGTCCCTGGGATGGCCCAGTTTACTTTGGGTCTTGTAACGTGTGGCTTGCTGGAAGGTGTGGCTGGACAGTGATGACTCACAGGCAGGCCAAGGCCACTGGAAGACAGATGATCTCCTGTCTCTGCCCAAGACCCTGGAGTTGCAGTCCTCCTTCATGGCCTGTCTCCTGTGAGTGGCCACACCTGGGCCTAGGTGGAGTCTTTGTGGCCAGAACAAACCTGTTGTCAGTGGCCCTCTCACAGTGGGACCTCTCAGGTGGAATCACAGCACCCCACAGTATCCATGCTGGATGTTAGGACCTTGGAAATGATCTTGACCTTCTAGCATGATTTCAGCTCGGGAAGCACAGGCCCATTGAAGGCTCAAGGGGGTCTGGGTTACTGGGTATCATCTCCTGATGCCTGTCTTGGGCCATCCGCCAGGAACTTGTTTGATTCTTTCCTGCAGGCTCCACGGGATTTAGGCTCATGCCTGGCTCATCCTGGACCTGGGGACCTAGTTGTGGGTTTGCCCACAACCTTGTTCTGGGGACATTTGCACTCAGGGGTGGGTCCTTGAGCCATCAGGATCAGTGACAGGTGTGGGATGGAGTTTGCATAGGCCCTGGGTGGGAAAGGAGGCCCAGAGGGGCTTCCTGGAGGCAGTGATATCTGAACCACATTTACAGTCATCCTGCAAGAGTTCTGTGAAACCTTCATCTTATAGATGAATAAACAAAGATTCAGCAGAGTCCACTTGGCCTTGCACTTGCTCCTAGGAGAAAACCTGGTCTTGCTTCTTCAGGGTTTTAGGGTGATGGCAATGGTAACACCATCAAGCATTCTTCTGAGTGCTGACTGTACACAGGTGCTATTCTAGTGGCAAGTCCGTGTGGTCCTCAGCAAAGCTCTATGGGGTAGAGGTTGTTACTCCCATTTTACAGATGAGGAAGCCAAGGCTCAGACGTTGCATCATTTGTCCAGGTCACACAGCTAGTTAGAGATAATAACAATGTCAATAAGAATAAAGGAGGCCAAGAATTGTAATGGTAATAATGGTAATAAACCAACTTGCCCAAAGTTATACAGCTAGTAACCAGTGGAGTAGAATTTGAACCTACATCTTCCTAAGCTGTAATGCTTAGGTTTGGGTAGACCTTTGGTTAAGCTGATTACCCTCTGGGGTCAGCAGGGCCGGCCCTGCCCTGCTGGGTGCTCCTCTATCTCCTTGGCTTTCTTAGCGCCTCCTGTGGCTGCTTCTTGCCCACCAACACCTGGAGTGCTCCCCCTCCCTATTGCTGGTGCAGCCAGTAACCCGGGGAAAGGGCGGCCCTAGCCTGCACCCAGATAAATAAAATCTCCCTTCCCTCTAGAATTATTAATTTCTCATGACAGCCCTGTGCTACCATGCGCTGTAATAGACAAAGGAATTTTGGACCCAGGGCCTCTGGAGAGCAGGAAATAGATGAGACATTTTGATGGAAGAGTAAATGGCCCACTAAAATAGCAGTTAATCCTTTTATTATCTTTCCAGCAGTCGTTTCCACAGTTCTTTCATGAGGTAAGCCTCCCCCAGCCCATCCAACTGGAACACTCTTGTCCCCGCAGCTGGTTTGCATTTAGCCAGCGGAGCCTCGCTGCGGCACGGGCCGGCCTCGCTGTGCCCGCAGGAGCAGCTCGCCCTGGCCCGCACGGTCATCCTCAGGCCTGGCCTGCGCTGGCTTCGGGCGAGACTGCACCCTCTGCCCCACCCCGCAGCCTGCACCCTGCACGTCCTGGCCCTGCTGTCCAGAGGAAGCGGCCTAATCTCTGTGCAATATCCTGTTATGTTCCTTACGTGGCCGAGTTGTCTTAGCCTTATTAAATTTGGGGCTTCATCTGCGTTACGATAACAAGGTTACGTCCAACCCAAATACTGCTGCGACGCCTCCAAGACGTTAACTCTGGGAAGATTAATTTCATGCTTTCTTAGGTTGGTTCTCCCAGACGAGTGGAATTCTGATTGTCTGGGTCTGCAGAAGGGAGCAGACCATGTAGCTTGCTGTCCCGCGTGTCGAGAGAGGTAGAGTGAAAGGGGCGACTCTGCCCGACGATGCCTGTTCCTGCTTGGGCAGAACCCCAGGGTGGTTAAGAGTTCCACCAGAGCTGTGTAGCCCCGAGTGAAAAGCCCAGGCCCAGAGTCCCCACGGACTTGGGGCCCAGCCTGGCCCTGCCCCTCGCTGGCTGGGTGACCTCATGCAGATGACTCTCCCCTTCTGAAATTTAGCATGGTCAGTTGTAAAATGGGGCAACAGTTGTGCTTGTCTCGGTGGGTTTTCGTAACTGGAGTGAGAAGAGATGGCATACCCCCATCTCGCGCTTCTGCAGTCAGTTGGCCCGGGAGATTTGTCCAGGAGCCCCAAGAGATGAGATGGAGTTACTTGTAGCTATTTTACAGATAGACAAACTGAGGCTCAAAAGAGCCAGTCAGAGGGGGAGCCTGGTCTTGCTGCCAGTGAGGTAGGTGGCAGGCTCCTATGTGGGTGCTCCATGGGCCAGTTCACCAGCCGTGGGCCCTTGATTCTTTGCATCTTGTTCACTCATAATCTCTTGGAGACAGCCTGCCACAAGTCAGTGTCTGTACAGATGCCTGGAGCCAGAATGGGAGCAGCTGGGTCATTGGAACAGAGGTAGCGGGGGAGGCCTTAGTCCATGTTCCTCTGGGCAGCTGAAGTCTCAGGGCTGGGTGTCCATCCTATGCGGGTCCTCTGGCAGCTGCAGCTGCCCTGGCCACTGGGCTCCATCCCTTGTGTCTCTCTGCTTTACTTCCTGATATGCCTCTGGTTGCTTTGAGCCAGGGACCAGGGAAATGCATCTAGTTGAAGGGTGAGTGTAACTGGCCTTTGCTGGCTGAGGAACTCAGAACAGCAGCCACCTGGCTGCACCTTCTGGGAGGTCCTCGCCCACCTCCTAGCCTGAGCCAAACTGACTCTCACCACCCGTGTTAGCTTTTCATTACTGCAACAGATACCTGCGAGAAGCTACCTATCATGCTTGTGGTGGGGGGTTCACTGTCCAAGATTCCACAGGTCCCATTGATTCAGCCCCAGATGGAGGCGTTCCTGCAGGCAGCATCTGGGGGCAGCCCAGGACATCACACAGCGAGGGGGAGTGCACACATCAGTCTGTGCCTCTCCTCTCTCCTTCTGCAGCGGATTGAATCCAACACGGGAGCTCCACCTTAGCAACCTAATCCAATCCAGTCACTCCCCAAAGGCCCTGCCTCTAAGCCCTGTGGTTGGATCAGTGCCATCAACAGAAGACATAGGGGCAAGCCTCAATCCAAACTATGACATCCCCCATAATCCTCGGGCTCCTGCTTCCTTTCTTCATCTTGCTGTGGCCCTTGTACTCCCTTAAAAGTGATACCTTGGGTGCAGGGAGGGGTGGGTAGAATAGAGGTGGTGCTGTCCACTGAGGGGCGGGCTGGGGTGAGGTGGTGCTGTCCACTGAGGGGCGGGCTGGGGTGAGGTAGTGCTGTCCCCTCAGGTGCAGGCTGGGGTGAGGTGGTGCTGTCCCCTCAGGGGCAGGCTGGGGTGAGGTGGTGCTGTCCTCTGAGGGGCGGGCTGGGGTGAGGTGGTGCTGTCCACTGAGGGGCGGGCTGGGGTGAGGTGGTGCTGTCCTCTGAGGGGCGGGCTGGGGTGAGGTGGTGCTGTCCTCTGAGGGGCAGGCTGGGGTGAGGTGGTGCTGTCCCCTC